TCTCACAACCACCATAAAAAGTTAGGAAATAAATATAAATTATGCCTCTTTTATTCTAGAATGAACACAAATTATAACATAAAAACATAAATGTTGAGACTAAATAGCTTATATCTCATAACGTTATAATGTAATGGTCAATCCCACTATTCGTTGGTAAAAGAGCAGCCCAAGAGTTGGTGGTGGGTGGTGATGACTAGCTGCCTACCCTCTAGTCTTACACTGCTAAATTAGGGATGGCTAGCGCAGATAGCCCTTGTGTAGCTTTGTGCAAAATTAATAAAAAAAACAACAAACAAACAAACATAACGTTATACATTTATATATATTATTTTTATTATATTGACTTTTCAGCAGTGCTTAGCTAACAATACAGAAGTTACAATGACACGGCTCATGTGCACTCATGTTACGGTATCAAATAACATAAAACTGACCTTTGTGCAAAGTAATTTGTCTTGGTTGTGTTTTAGTAGACTAGTATTTAGTAAAATACAGTGGCATTTCAATTATTATACCTCATATATGTATATAGATTATTGCTATCTTGAAATAAGTTCTTAAACATATTTTTCCTAAAACATATTAAAGTAAATAAAGAAGTAAAGCAAACAATTATCTCTTCTAGTTACAACCTTTGTACTTGGTTGCTGCTTAACGTAGGTTGCTAAGCCTTTCAAAATTGTACACATGGAGGATATGAAACAAATTTTTTTTTAGGTTTTATATATACATTTGAATAACTAAAAAATCATAAATTACTACATTAATACCATAGAATTCCACTATAACTTATAGAGCTTAGTAACTAAGATATATTTTAGTCTAAAAAAATCTGGAATTTCAAGCAGACTAAAGACACACCCTACATCATTGAAATATTGGTTCAAAAGAAAGAAATGATGCAAAGTCCATTAACACGGCTGAGAAAGCCACTAGGGGGACATTCTGAGCTTCCAATTGGTTATTCATGTCATATATAGAAGTAAGTGTATATAAGGCAGCATTTCCAAAAATGGATAGAGGTGTGTTTGATTTATTACATGAGCAATATCTTAGCAAATTTAAAAGATAAGACCTTCTTAATTTATATTCTAGCTTGTCAATAATGGTAATTTGAGTTTCCGATTCGTACAAAACTATATACTTAGTATTTTGACTTCACAAACATCTAATTGAACCAGTGCTGCATTCAACATACCATGTGACAAACAAAAATCGATGTTTATCTGTTTTTTAATATTTGCTTTTAAATTAAGAAATTGAGTACTACGTAGTACTAGCATTTGAATTATAATCTACAGTTTGATACCAAACTTACTGACATAAATTCATGAAATAGTAGTTCAATAAAATTTTGAATGCGAGTCAACAAAAGAGATGACATGACCTTTCACCCATGACCCATCTCGAAAGGGTTAATAGTTCTCTCTTATGTTTACTTCTACATTATGTATAACCAATAGAAAGCAAAGGTATTATATTATGTTGTTTCCTGAACAGAGAGTTGTCAATTTCTCAGTTAGTACAAGTTTCATTCCCACAGAAAAGATAACAACTAGCTTGGAGGAATTTGTTTTGGCTCTTGTGGAATAGTTAGAAAGCCAGAAAAATTGTGATAGTTAAAGGAAATTGTCCACTTTTTGTATGTTATTATTGTATGTTCTTTGGTGCATTACTACCATTAGTGTAAAAAAGTAGAGTTAAGTGTCATCGACAGTCAACGGTAAAAGAATGAGACGACCTGGGTATGTACTTTATTTCTTGTTTTTCATGTTTATTCTTCATTTATTATGATAAAAGTAACTAAAATGTAAAAATCAAGGATCTCTTTAGGTTAGTTAAGATTAGATTAGGTAAAATAAATTATAATAATATAATAAAAATGTTTCACGAAGGCATGCATGCGAGCAGCTCAGACTCAGAGTAGCTCATGGGTAATTCAAGTAATTCAAGAGCATAACGTAAGCTCCATCTTATAACGGCATGAATAGTGATAACTAGTTGTCAAAGGGCAATCACAGAGCAATAATAAAACAATAAAATTTAAGTATAAATAGATGTATACTGATGTGAATGTAGTTTCATGTTACAATCTGAAGTCATTCTAGAAAGAAAAAAGCAGTAATTTAGATATATTTAGATTTTTGGTGGTTATGAGGTCAGTCAAATTGACCAATTTGTATAGAGTTAGGGTAAAGAAAATGACATATAAAATATAAAGTTTTCTTGAAAAAAACATTTCAAATGTATTTAGGAGGTTTTCGAGATTACACAAAAAAATTTTTGAAATTAAGAATAGTATTTTTAATCTTAATAAGAAAAACACTTTGCACATGGACTACTCGAAACAAATACTTGATATATTATTGGATAAATCTTATTTTTAGTTTATTGAAAATACTTCACTAAGAATATGATTTTTTGTATGTGAAATACTTATAATGTTTACTGAAAGTCTACCAAATTTGGTGAAGATATACATATTGCATTAAAAGTTATAGTATAAATACTTAACGTATGTAAATGTGTATATGAGCTCAGTATTCTATACCGAGCCTGTCATGAGAGGGTTAACTGACTTCACATTCAGGTATGCGCAGACCTGGATTTCTCACCATACAAGAGAGTTTGATGGCAAGAGAGTACCAGTTACAACAATGAGCAAGTCCAATAGGCCTATTACATTTATAGTTTGAAGTGACTGACAGTTTGAAATTTTTATCATAAAACTAGGATGTTCTGTGCAATCCGAGAACTTTTCTCAGAATATTGGGTCGAACTATCAAAAAACGAGACTGTTCCAGCAAAACTGGAAACACAAACAGCCACCTAGTGGGATCCTATAAGTAAATGCTGTGAAAAAAGAAAAGATACTCAGCAGTTTAGTGATGGTGGGTAGAATTTGTAGAATGGTTGAGGCAAGCAGTAGCCTTCAGAAGACAAGACAGTCAGATGGTGAAGATTGTGGGCAAGAAAGGTGTGAGTAGTAGTCTACATGCCTGCCTGAAGGAATTTGTACAGGAGATGTTGGAAATAAGTGGCAAGAAAATGAAAGAAGTGACAATTCTGTTCAATGAGAAGTAGACTAAATGTAGAATTAGTTGGACCTAACCAATAAAGGTATAAAGAGAAATATCCCTGGAAGATAAGAAGATGAAGAATCAGTGATGGGAACCTCAAAAATATGAGGTGTTAGATAAGTAGCAATGAATGGTACAGGTAGGGCACAATTGTCTATCTGGGTTTTGTTGAAACGTTGTACACTTGCTGTTATGTTAAACTTGTATTAAAGTTTTTCTTCATTACCCATTCAAGCTGTCTCCAACCATTATTAGTTTCAAGGCTATAAATATCAGATAGATAGAGAAGTCAAGGCTTGAGTTTGCAGGAATGTAGACAGTCAATGAAAGGTAAAATGAAAATTAGTTAGGATTTGGATTAAGTCATATGACACAGGGGAAAGAGTAAGAATGGTACATACCTGTGAAATTAAGTCCTGATAATAAGAGAAAGTTTGAGGATTCTCTTCAACAGGGAGAAAAGTTCCTAGAGCATAACCAGGAGGAAGAAACAATTAAATTCGTCCTTCCCATTCTCCCCTCAAAACGATGGGAAGGAATACCTGAAGAAGGGACTGGATCTGAATGTCCTGAATGTATAAGAGAACCCACTACCCCATGCACAATAGCCGTAATATCATCCTAAATCAACATGCATCCTTAAGCCATAGTTGATACATAACGTGTATGAAGAAATTATTCACTCACACAAGTAGTAAATGTTACATGAATGAATAAATAAGTTCATAGCTTGTAGAAAAGAAGAAGAAAATTTAGTTTCATAAATATCACAAATCACATTAAATTGAAAACAAAAAATCATGTCTGATATGTTCAGTGTTGAGGAAAAGAATGGAGATTCATGAGTGCAAACCCATTGAGAGAGTAATTGTACAAGGAGGTGTGTTGCCCTCCTATTAGAAAAGGGCTTTTGCTGCCTAATGACATTATTATGCAGTAGTGCAGTTCACAAGAAAATATTTTAAAATTAGGTGGGAGTACATTAAAGGATAGTGGCATGCAAATCCCTAAGGCAAAAGCACTGGGTAGATAGGTATGGTAGTGTCTCAGAAATCTTAAATATCATTTGTTTGTTAAATTTCATGCAAAGATACTCCAGGGTTATCTACACTAGCCATCTCTAATTTTGAAATGATAGATTAGATGTAAGGTAGCTATTCAACACCGCCCACCTCCATCTTTGGGGCTACTCTTGTCAAACATAACAGTGAGACTGAAACTCGTATAATGCACCCTCTGCCCAAAAGTGTGAAGCACTATTTTTTTTTTTTCAGCCATGGAACCTCAGATCCACAGTCTAGCACACATTAACTGGACTCTGCTTCGCTCAAAACATCTTGGAAGAAGTGTTAAAAGTAAACCCTTAAACTACTGGTTAAATGCTTCTTAATGGAAGAAGGTGAGTGGGTGCTAGACTATTTTTCTACAGGTTTCATTAGACAAAGGCACTTATCTAAGGATGTTTGCTTTGATGCCCAATTTTATTTAAACCATATTACTAGTTGTGTATACATACATATATATTATATATATATATATATATATATATATATATATATATATATATA